AGAAACAGCTCTGAAAGCATCTGTACAGTTTGTGATGCTGGGTGGAAGGAGATGATGGTGTTCCTGGCAGCCTGGTGGCCTTTCGTTCTCGGGTTGGATTCTCTTGCCACCTTTCTACACATAAGCAAGGGAAAGGTTAGGTCAGGCCGGGTGTGCACAGAGATGGAGAGGCTGCCAGTGTTGTGGCAGAGATGGATTTGGGGTCTCAAGCCATAAACCCTCAAGTTAACGCTGCAGGAAAACGAGCCCACAAGTCAGTCCCTTTGGGTCCAGGCTGATGGTACAGACTCTGCTTTGAGTACTGACCTCAGAGTGAGGCGCTCCTGGGGAGGGGCAGTGATTGGCTGCCACCAGGTAACTAGAGTGCTCTGTCGCCTTGGCCTACTTTCATTGCCGCTGCAAATTCAGCTTGCTCTGTGAGGGAGTGAGCGCTGTGGGACAGGATCCAGCCACGCCTGTAAACGCAGTCACCACAGAGGTGAGTGCGCCCTGCGGACAGAGGTCCTGTGACCTCCCGAGGAAGAACAGGAAGGGCAGGGCACTTTCTGCCGCAGTGTGAGGGACCTCTGTGGCCTCTCCTCTACTCCCTGTAGCTTGCAGGGACGAGGCCCTTCAAGGATGTTTTCTGTGCCTCCTTCCATTCCTAAGACAGCCCATGGTTCAGGTAAGTGGGTGATGCGAGGGTTTCTTTTGAACCACCCTTTGTGAGACCTGTCAGAAGGTCAGGGAGGCAAAGAGAGTGTGTGCCTATGTGGATGACCTTGTGAATCTTAACTTTAAAGGTCCTCTTTAAAAGGTTTCTCTCTGGTATGCAGGAACTTTGTGGGCTTTTAAATTTTGCTTTGTTTTGTTTCTGGTTTCCATTTGGAGCTTTTTTTTAAAAAAAAGATTATCATTTAGATACAGTAAAATTCACCCTTTCGTGTATAGTTCTGTAAGTTTTGACAAATATAGTCATATAACTGCTAACATAATCAAGATAAAGAACAGCTTCATCACAGCAAAAAAATTCTCTGTGCCCCTTTGTAGTCACTCCTGCACCATTTTCTTACGCCTGGCAGTCACTGCTCTGATGTCTGTCCCAATAATTTTGCCTTTTCTAGAATGTTACTCAGTGGAGTCACACAGTATGAACCCTTTGAGTGTGGTCCCTTTCACTTAGCAGCACTCATCCATGTTGTTGCATATGTCAGTAATTTGTGCCTTTTCATTGCTGAGTAGTATTCCTTTGTATGGATGTACCACAGTTTATCCAGTCTCTAGTTGAGAGACATTTGCTTCATTTACAGTTTGGGGAAATTACAAAGAAAGCTATTATGAACATTTGCATACAGATTTTTGTGTTAACATAGGTTTTATTTCTCTTGGGTAACCAGTAGCAATGGGATGACTGGGTCCTAGGTAAATATATGTTTAAGTTTATAAGAAATTGTCAAACCATTTCCAGAGTGGTTGTACCATTTTGCATTCCCATCAGCAGATGTTACGTATCCTCCCTGGTGCTTAATATTGTCAGGTTTTAAAATTAACCATTCCAATAGGTGTATTGTGGTATTTCATTGTGAATTTAATTTGCGTTGCCCTAAAGACCAATGACTTTGAGTATTAATGTAATTATTTACCATCCTTATACCTAAAAAAGTATCTGTTTATATCTTTCGCTCATTTTAAAAACTTGGGTTGTTTGAGTTGTAAGTGCTCTTTATATATGTTTTGGACAAAAGTCCTTTATCAGTTCTATGATTTTCTCCTGGTCTGTGATTTATCTTTTTTTTTAGTCGTCACCCAAGGATATTTTTTCCATTGATTTTTTTTTTTAAGCGAGAGAGGGAGGGAGGGAAGGAGGGAGGGAAGTTGGGGGGGGAGAGAGAGAAACATCACTGTGAGAGAGACCCATGGATTGGTTGCCTCCTGCATGTGGCCCGACCAGAGCCGGGGATCAAAGTGCAACCCTGGTATGTGCCCTTGACCGGGAATCGAACCCACGACCCTTCAGTGCGTGGGCCAATGCTCCAACCACTAAGGCACACTGACCAAGGCTGATTTATCTTTTTATTCCCTGAGCAGTGTCTTTTGAAGAGCAGGGTTTCTTAATTTTGATGAAGTTTAATAATTTTAATCTTTTTTAAATGGATAAGGTAACAAATATTTTTCTAGAAATTTTATAGCTTTAGGTATTACATTTAGGTCTATGATTCATTTTGAGTTAATTTTTGTATATGGTGTGAGGTGTGGGTGGAGATTTTTTGCCATTTTGTTCTTTCTCAAAATTATTTTAGATATTCTAGTTCCTGGATCTTTCCATTCAAAAAGTTAGAATCCACTTGTTGATTTCTACAAAAAGTCCTGCTGGAATGTCTTTTGAGATTGTGTTGAATCTATAGAGCACTTTGGGAAGAATTGATATCTTCATGTATTGAGTCTTCCAGTCGTGTGGTAGATTTTTAATTAAAACAGAGAGTGGAGTCCAGCCCCGATGCCTTCGCTGATCATTTAATTATAAAGCCATACTGAAATTAATAGAGAGCAAGTAGTTAATTTAATGCTCTGTTTGAAAGTAGTTCTAGGCAAGGGAAGAATCAGCACCATGGAGGAAGAGGGTTCCAATTCTTTCTCTCTCAAAGGCTTGGTCTGGAACTCCAACAGGATAGTGGGTCCAACCTTTGGAAGGAAGAAAAAGGGAAAGTCTGAACTTCATAGATGGGGCCAGTCTGCTTGGCTGCCAGGTGCCCTTGGTAGGGATTTCCTTTCCCTAGATGAAAAGCTCCAAATTAAGGGGGGAGCTCACTGCCAAGGAGAACATCAGCCTCACCTCTAGGCCTCCTGTGCTGTGCCTCTTCCAGCTCTGCAGTGCTGGCTAACAGTGAGAGTGGGTGGCCCGGGCAGCGGAGTTAACAGCCACAGGGTGGGGGCGGGGGTGCCTGCCTCCAGGCTGGCTGCTGGGATCACTCAAACAGCTTCCAGACAAAGGAGTTGTGACATTAAATATGAAATCAGACTCTGCCAGCTTCTCAGTAGCCTGGAAGGAATGCCCGCCAGGGTTGGTAAAAGGGAGGCAAATCATTTTCCACTAATGTCATGATCTTAGGAAGCTCTTATGAATTAATTTATCAGTTTTCAAAAGGCCATGTTAATGAGACTACCAGGGCTTTCAGACCTCCTTACTGTATAGTTCAAGAAATTATAATGTAAGGGGTGGGATGGGAGATTTTTATTTTGTTATTTTGTTTTGTTTTGTTAACCCTCACCTGAGGATATTTTTCCACTGACTTTTAGAGAGTAGAAAGGGGAGGGAGGAGGAAGGGAAGGAGGCAGAGAGAGAGGGAGAGAAAGAGAGAGAAACATTGATGTGACAGAGACACATCGATTGGTTGCCTCCCTCATGAGCCTGGCGGGCTGGGGATCAAACCTGCAACCCAGGTATGTGCCCTTGACCGGGAATCGAACTTGCAACCCTTTGGTGTGAGGGCTGACACTAACCACCGAGCCACATGGGCCAGGGCAGATTTTTTTAAATTACATTTTAAAATTTAAATTAAATTTTAAATTACATTTGTATTAGCACACTGGGGAAAACATTGACCAAATACAGAAGTGAATACAAATAAGATGCTCAGGTTCTCCTCCCTCTGCTGCTCACAGTTGCCAGAGGCGACCACGGTGTGTGCTCCAGGCCATTTGCCACCTTTACACAAAAGGGACTGTGTGAGATTGTTGTTTATTTTTAACCTGAAATGGGATCATTTTACAAATGGTTTTGCTAACTTGGATGTTTGTGCTTTTTTACCTTATCTATAGATTATGGCTACAGTTTTTTCTTAGATCTTAAAAATCTACCTTATTCTTTTTAATGGTTGTTAAATAACATCCCATGACTCATTTTTCTGTTCTCCATTGGGGGATGTTTCAGTTGCCTCCAGTATTTCTCTGTCATGAGTTATGCTGCTGTGGACGTTCCGTACACATATGCTTATGTGCTTGTAAGAGTATTTCTTTTTTTTCTTTTTTTTAATATATATTGATTTCAGAGAGAGGAGAGGGAGAGAGATGGAAACATTAATGATGAGAGAGCCATTGATCAGCTGCCTCCTGCACGCCCGTGACTGGGCATCGAGCCTGCAACCCGGGCATGTGCCCTGACCAGGAATCGAACCCCGATCGCCTGGATCCTAGGTCAATGCTCCACCGCTGAGCCAGGCTGGCCGGGCATAAGACTGTTTCTTACAAGACACTGGTAGAAAGCGGATTGGCCGGTCAGAGTAGGTGCACGTCTGCACCTGTTGGCGGAGCTGCAGTACCTCCCTTCAGTGTTGAGCGAGCACTTTCCCCCCAGACCTTCGCCAGCACGTGATTCCTTGGATGGGTTTCAACATAAGCAAGGAAAGTGTCTTTTGAAATTGGTATTTGCATCATTAGTGAAATTGAGTATCTTGTCGATTAGTGTTATATATTTTGTCTACGAGTTGCCTATGGTTTGTTTTTTTCCTACTTAGAAACTATTGGTTGGGGAAACACTTCATATAAAGACTGATAACATTTTGCCAAAATGATACTCAGAGGAAAGTTTATATCCTTAAATGTATTTGTTAAAAAACAAGAAAGACTAAACCTTAACCAAGAGAAAGTAGCAGAGAGTAATTAATAAGATAAAAGCAGATCGTATACTTCACATACTTAATGGTATGCATGGTACACCTCAGTTAAAGGAAAAACAAAAGCAGAATAATGAAGTGGAAAAAAACCAATAGACTGGATCATTACAATGCAAATGTGCTTATTTCTTAAAAGATATCTGACAGTTCTGATCAAGGAGAGAGAGCGCCAGGCCGGCGTGGCTCAGAGGCTGAGCATCGACCTAGGATCCAGGAGATCGCAGTTCGATTCCCGGTCAGGGCACAGGCCTGGGTTGCAGGCTCGATCCCCAGCAGGGGGTGTGCAGGAGGCAG